AGAAATGTTTGATTTAATGTTGGTCCCTGCTAAACACACACACACAAAAAAAAAGGACTAGATTTCATCTTTTAGATGAAAAGCAAACGGAGACTTAATCTTGCAAACACCTGACTTTGTTTACTTTTAAAATTGGGAGGATTCCTGCTGTTTTTCAGTGCTTCACAGAAGCTCTCAGAGAAATAATCCTGCAGATCACTTGCAGAATAGAAACTTTTTGAAGCCTGTGCATTTTCAGCTGCATGAAGGGCTATGCCACCACAAGAGGAACTGGACTGAAACCTAGATGAATGGCAGAGTGGGACTGGAGGGGGGAAAAAAATGCACCTCCTTTTCTCCTCTTTTGTTTTCTGTGTTCTTCCTACTTTGTCAGAGGTTGAGTATACAAAAGGAGCTGGATCTAGAAGTCAGTTATAGGTAGTGGTATGAGAAGCACTTGACTTCCTATAAATGGTTACACCTGAGACACTTAACACCAAGCTGCTTTAACTGACTTAAATGTTCTTAGCATGTTGCTCTGCATGATAGCTGTCTGGGATAAAAGGTCCATCTAACCCACTACCTCTTCTCCAACAGAGGGCAACATCACACCTCTAGTAAAGATAGATGTCTAGTGTTGGCTTCTGGCTCTTGATGTGGAGAGAGAGCTAAGGTCCAGATTCAGGACACTTAGGTGTGGAGTTATATAGTCATTGAATAGTAGCATTTAATCCCTCTTATGTATGTTTTGGAAATCATATCAGAACTTTTGAACAGCTGCTGCTGGTGTAGGAATAAAGTGTACTAACTCGCCTTGAGTGAAAGACTGCTCTTATGAGAATATACTTTAGTGCCTAAAGACTTGCCACTAACTTCAGGGCAAAAAAGAGCATATTTGTTTGTAAATGCTTTCAAGTATAACAAGTTGCCAATCCTTATTTCCAGAAGCATGAACAAAGTCCTCTTATTCCTTGGTGTACAGCCTGTAGTCTCTCTTTCACTTTCACCCAAGCTCTTGAAATCAAGGTGAAGTCTATAGCTGCCATAGTGAATCACTGTATGCAATTTCCAGTATTGAACAAGGGGAAGGAAGCTGTTCCTGGTCTTGTGAAGTGAGACTTCATATGAATGGGACTTCTTGATGTGACTGAAGCTTCATAGGAGAATGCAAAGGCATTGGGCTGCCAAATTTTACTAGCATTTGCTGAGGGGGAGTTTAGTTGTTAATGACACTGGGCAGCAGATGGTCTTAGAAGAGTTGTTAAGACACTGTGGATCGTACTGTAAATATGTGGGTGAATGGAACCAGGATGCTGACAGTTCACTCTCACAGCTCATCATGAGAAGGTGACTCGAGTGGAATTCGGTATTGCCAGAACGTGAATTTCTTGATATTTGGCAGTCTGCTATATATCTGGGAAGAACTTTGCAGTATAACAGTGGGATGGTAGTTGGGACACACTTAGTCGTGTAAAGTTCAGAACAGCGGACATTATATGCCTAGTCAACCTTGCTTGACCACTGCTGATCTTTAGACCTGAAGGTACCAAACCTGTGCAGTTTAGCTACAAGACCAGGACAGGAGTTAATTTTGGTCTTCTCTCTTTCTTTGAATCCAAGAGAGCATTCACTCATCTGAATTGTTGAACCAGAAAATAAGCTGTTACAGGAAAAAGTCCTCTCTCCCCTATCACAAGCCTGGTCTTGACCTACTCTTCTGTTTCTCCTTCTCACGAAATACCTCCAGCCCCTCCATTGAAATGAAAAAATACAATTGTGCATTAGGGCTTTTTACTTTGATTTAACAGGGTGAGACATAAAGTATTTAATCCAAATCCTTTCCTTAATTTTTAGCCTTTTTCTCATTTCAGCCTGCTTACCCATGCAGCTTTTAGTACGGCTTGAAGAAAATAATGATATAAAGATCCTAAGTGTGATTCACAAGATGAAATACAGTATGTGGGAATTATACAGATATATCAGAAACTTAGCAGACAGTGCAAGAGCACAGCTCCTCTTGTTCTCTAGGGACACTTACACATCTGTGCCCTGACAAAAGAAACCCAAATTTAAAACCTCTGATAAAGTACCCAATGGAAGCTGAGTTTTGCCCTGTGTTTGCAAGTGGGATAGTAGCCCATTGAAACTGGGGTTCTCTTTGCTGTGATCTTAAGTGCAAGTGTAATCTTCATGAACAAATCTCTGGAAGCAATTTTCTTCCTTTCTTGATGTCTAGATGTTTTTCCAGGTAGCTTCATGTGGGGTTGTGGGTTTGTGTGCGTTTTGTTGGTTTTTTTTTTGGTTTGTTCTGTTGGGTTTGTTTTTTTTTTTTTTTTAAGATGACTGTTCACCTTCTTCCTTGAAATGATTCTTCATCTCTTCACAGTCTCCTAGCTTAAGTCAGAAGTGAGGTACAAGTTTAAGAATCATAGAATGGTTTAGGTTGGAAGGGACCTTGAAGATCATTGAGTTTCAACCCCCCTGCCATAGGCAGGGACACCTCCCACTAGACCAGGTTGCCCAAGGCCATGTCCAGTCTGGCCTTCAACACCTCCAGGGATGGGGCCTCAACATAAGAATTAATTTATTCTGAAGGGGAGAAAACAAGGTGGTTTGGACAGGTGTTTGAAAGAACACATCCACTAAATCAATGTTTCTTGTTCAAGGTAGCTCAGTAACTGGGTCCAGCTTTCTGCTTGGATGTCACTTACAGTTTGGACACTGTCAGGCTACTTGGAGGGTACTTGTTCCCATCTTGTGGTCTGTTCACAGATGCAGAACAGCTTTGTGCTCCTCCATGATGCAAGAGGTCATTAGGTAACTAAATCCACTGTGAATGGGACAGACTAAATGTAGTGTGCCTGTTAACCAACACTGATTCAACTGAAAAGCTCATCGGGTATTGCTGGTTTTCCTCGCATGAGGGTAGCACTAACAAACTGTCTCTGTAGTCTGACGGTTTCTGTTGTCCGGCTTCATGGGCAAGATCAAAAAAGTTTCATGGGCTGCTTCTCTTTGTAGTGATAGTATGGTCCTTGGTGTGAGATGGACTTTTTTTAGTTGGCTTGAGAAAGGTCAGTGGCTTGGATAATGTCTTCTTAATGTCTTTATCATCTTGTGATGGTGTTCAACCTGAATAATTGAAATGCAGAATTGCCACCTGTAGGTGTGTGACTGTAGGTTTGGTAGGTCTCGCCTATGGAATGTCGGGCTCTTGTTTCAGTGTTCCCACGACAGAGCTCTGTGTTACGTTTAACATAACTTGTGATGTTAAATTGTGTTGTGTTTTTTTTTTTTTTTTCTAGGAAAGTGTGATCTCTTACACTCTCAAAAATGCCAAAACCTTCATACTAAATTTTTATTAATTGCATCAACAGTGTAACTTCAGGAGAATTGTATTTGGTCTCTGTATTTTTTAGGCTTTGACTAAACTAAAACCTGTATTTGCTAGTAATTCTGATTCCTAGTCTTGCGTAAACATAGTATCTGTTTGAAAAGAGCAGAAACATGGTTTGCCAGTCCACTGCATCTCATCAAAGTCAAATTATAAAGTCTAATTTCTGCAAGGAAAACATTTTAATACTGGTAATTACTGTTCTGGTGAAATATTGAGGCTGGAAACAGCAGAGTTATGTCAATTAACGTCCTCGGTTAGATTCTGTTAAGGAATAATTTAAAACAACAGTAGTAGTACATTACCCTTTACTTTCTGAAGGAACATAATTCTTGCTATCATTGAGTGACAGATATGCATGGATCAGTTGGAAAATACCGCAAAGGGAGGGCTTTGAAATGTTCAGATTTGCCTTAATGACTTTATAAAAAAAAAGTCTGCTAAAAATCTCCTGCAATGAATATGACCCTCAACAGTAATATTTATGTAGTGTAATTAGAGTGTTTGTTAGGGATCCCGTTATTGTTCACAGTGTAATTAGACTTATAATCTAGTAAATGTGACATACTATAATGTTCTGCTTTGTAAACATTATTGACTCCATTTTAAGACTTGAGATTGCCTCATGCCAACAAATAAAAGAAAATCATGGCCTCATAAAAACCTCCAATTATTTAGATGTGCACGCTATGGGTTCTTGATGCAGTCAAAGTTGAGACTGAACCAAGGTAAATATTGAACACAGGTGCAAGCTTCAGTGCAGGTGATTTGCCAACCTCCTTTTATATAAACCTCAGCTGTCTTCTTAAATCTCACTAAGTTTAAGGGGGAAAAGATGCAAATCTGAATAGCTTTTCAACCTCATTTGCACAGGCATATTCATATTGTGCTTCTGCCTTGTTTTTTGTGTGTTTCTAGTTAATAAGCAGATGTTGATTTGTTGGCAATCCGATGTAGCCATGTATGTATATTGATCAGTTAGTTATTCCTTCAGTTAGTTATTCCTTCATTGGAGGTAACTGAAAATGGGCTTGGCTAAACATTTCATCTTTTAGGGCTGAACTTAACTTTTTGTAAATTTTGTTGTATCTTAAACGGAAAAAAAACTTGGACGCTAGATTATTTAAGCAGTAAGCAGAATGGGCTATTGCTAAAAATGAATTTGTTTCGTGTTTGCTGTTAAAGACCTCTGATAAAACTGTTGTCTTGGTGTAACTACTTGTATCAGTCATTTTTTTCAACTCAAAATGACGCAAATGATCTGAATCTCTTAGGCTCTGCTCTTTTGAGATATGAAGTCAAGAGGACCGCCTGCTTCTCTTTAGTGTATGAGAACAGTTGTTGTCCTTGTCTCTCTCTGCAATGGTCTTTGTTAGTCAAAATATCTTAAAGTACTGGTAGTAATTTTCTGAAAAGTACACAGTGACTGCTCTCAGCAATGAGAACAGATTCCAGATAGGAGGGTTTGGGTTTTTTTTAAACTTTGCTTTTATTGCAACAGCTATTAGGTGCTGTTTCTACTGTCAGCCACTGTACAAACAGAACCAAAGACAGGTGCTAGTAGAGCATCTATAGTCTAGGTAGCTTGCTCTAATTGCAGTCTCTCACCGTGAAAACTTTCCCACAGCTGTGCCAGCAAACATCGCAGACCTGAGAAACATAGAAGTGCTCAACTTTTTCAACAACCAGATTGAGGAGCTGCCCACACAGATCAGCAGCCTACAGAAGCTCAAACACCTGAATCTTGGGTGCGTATCTTAATGCAAAAATTTGCTGTAATAGGGGTACTGTGAAATGTTGTCAAAACTGAACTGGGAACTTCTTATTTTTTGCTATTAAAGTTTCTTTTTGAAAGTGTTTGTGAGGTTAACTTGGCAGTTATGGCTTCAGAGTGTTTAGCTAGTGTCCTGGATAATCAGGTACTTAAAAGCACTCAAGCACTTACTCTGGTGTGCTGATAACCACTGAATGGCAACAGCAACTCACATTCATCTAATACTGAAGTCAAACTTCACAATTATTGAATTTTACTTCCCTAGCAACTGTCTCTTAATTCTGTGGTTGCTGTGGAAGAGCCAGGCTCTATCTTCTGTTCTGCTTTGTGTGTTGGGGGGGGGAAAAAAAAAACCCCAAAAAACAAACCAACAAAAGAACCCCCCCAAACCCCACAACCAAAACAAAAACAAACCCGCAAAAACCTAAACAAAGCAAACCCCAAAAAGCTAATGTTTCCATGATTATTTAGGACTTTAATTCCGAAGTCCCAAATTTGGGATTAAAGACATTTCAATTTCTTTTAATCCTGTGAAAGAAGCATTAAATCGTTAAATGTGGTGTGCATTTATTTCAAAGAGCTAGTATTGACTGAATTTGAGCCAGAGTCATTCAGATACTATATTCCAGTACAGCTGATGATACTTTACAATAACTACAATTGCAGAAGGCTTTCTTAAGGTAACAAATATGAAACACAGAACCTTCTTAAAACTAAGTGGGCATATTAGAGTGTAACTACTTAGAGAAACACTGGTAGGGGTAAGCTTTAGCTTTATAGGCTTGTCACAGAAAGAATGTTTGTATTTTATAAATTCAAACTTCTGAGCACCTAAAACTGAGGATGTTTTTACTGTTTTAAATACTAAATGATTTTGGCTAGGCTCTGTGTATCCTGCTTTAGATACTTTTGTAAAATGCTGATAATTGAATTGCATCTTGAACTGTTGGAATGCCAATAAATGTTTTCACGATGATCTGTCTTCTCTGGTCTTTATTTGGTCACTTTAGATCTCTAGCATGCCTTAACAACTGCTTGAACCTGGAATTGCTTTTTAGAACAAATATTAATTCATGATCAGGATTCTGTGTATCTGGGGGGTTAAATCCATACTTTTGGAATGGCATATAGAAGTGTTGCAGTGTATGGAGGGAGGAAGAAGTTGGGTTCTTTCCGTGGATTGAAGCAGTGAGAAGTGTTAATGTAGTTCAAACACTGGTCTTCGTTAATGGAAAAAAATGTAATGCAAAAGTCCACTTGGGGTTAAAACCAGCAGACGTTTAGGTCTGGCACCATGGTTGCCACCTTCATGTGTCATGTGGCCCAAGATCTTGTAGACTTAATGCTCATCCTTCTTAATCCCCTCTTTACTCATAATCTTCCAGGCACAGGATTTACAGCCCAGCCCAGGTTCTGCTTCAGAGGTCCTTGGAGTTAGCAAAGAGGAAACTGTTCTGCCCTTGTAGTTTGTCAGGGGCAGCCCAGAAACCCTCTTGTCATCTGCAGTGCATGTGTACATACAGGGCATCAAAACAGCCCTCTAGGGGAGAGGGGAAGCTTCAATAAGAGCATAGGGGAGGATTTTGGTGCAGAAGGGTCAAGTGGTGGGGTGGCAAGAGGGAAGGTTTACTGCTGCACTGAAAGCTTAAACAAACAAAAAAGAAATTTGTAAGGCAGGTGTGGCATGGTTTCTGTGGCACAGCCTCAGTGTTTGAACTTCTGCAGGGCTGAATAGTGCTGGGCAGGGATGTTCAGCTAGTTCTTTTTCCATGCCAAAGAATAGATACCATTCTGCCAGTTGTCAATAGGGAGAGCAATCTTTCTCTCCCTGTCCCTTGCTTCAAAAGGGAGGGCCATCAGGGCCACTTATTCTTTTTACTAGCGAAAAAGGAGCTGCTTTCTTTAGTCCTATTTGATATAAGGAACAACTTTAAAAACAGAGACAAGTCTACAGTAGCAATGGTGGAGAATACTTTTCTGTATTTTAATAGCTACTACAACAGTAATACCATGTGCATGTCCCTGGTAGGACTTCTTATGGGGGGCGAGGAGGAAGATGATTTCATTTAGAGATCAGCTCTGTGTAGCTAAACTCTACAGGTTCTTGTTCTGGTGGGGCTGCCTTATGCAAAAGTGGGAGAAGAAAGGTGAGGTTAGTATCTGAGAGTCTGTAAAAGAAAAGTTGTATGTGCTTCTCCTGCCTTTGCTCACATGGGTGTGTAGTCATTATGCTTAGCCTGGAGGTGCAGCTGCTTTTGTGTTTAATTCAGAGTCTAAAGAACTCTTAGAAGATGGGTTTATTAACTGTCCTACAAATTTATTTCATACTATTTATCACATAGGATAGCACAGCATTTGACAAACACTACATGGCGGAGGGAAGGCCTAAGAGATTAGACCTAGAAGTCTTTATTTTTGGGTATCCAACTTTGTCAATGCTGACAAATTACGTTACACTTCATCCATTAAGTGTCCTCTTGAATTCAGTTGTGGCTATTGCTATTTAATCACTTTTGCATCAGAAGGAGAGTCAAATCCAGAATATGTTTGGAGATAACACGTGAAAGGTCATGATTGTTTCCCATTGCCGATTGCCACATAAGAATAAAATCCAGTTCTTCAAAATAGTTACCTGTACAGGCTTTTCCTGAAGATGCCTGTCTTCTCTTTTCCACTTTTCAAATCCCGGTGGCAACTGAAGCAAGATCCATACACACAAGCTTCATGTTCGGTGTACATGCATGTTCTTTTGCTGTTCAGATGATAAAACGCCAGAGCTCTAGCTTGTACACAAGCAGTAAGGTGCTATGAATATTGTCTCCAGCTCCTTGCCTATCTTGATCATAGCAGCAGCTCTAGGGATTATCTGGATCACCTTGTTCAAGCCCTTTGAGGTCAGAGAAAAGTTAGTTTTCTGTAGCTTCTGTGCTCCAGCTTACCAGAGAAACCTCCTTCTGTTAGCTTTTCCCCAGGTTCTTCTGGCTGTTGCCAGTGGGAACTGCTATCCTAAACTCTCTAAGACAGACTGAACGAGCTATATTTAGACTAAGCCTCATCAATCAGAGGACTGACATTTTATTTACATCATGCTCCACGTGCATCAATAGTTATCCAGTGACACAAATCTGCCGTTTTTAAGAAGGGATTTGAGCAGCAATTATCAATGAACTTGAACACCCTGCAGTTGAGGTATTCCTCTTTGTATTTAGTACCATGGTAACTTATGTGGTACTGCGGAATGGCAGATGGTCAAGATGATGTGCAAAAGGGTAATTTGTAGTTTAGCTAGAAGATAGGTCACATACCAAGGACCAGGTTTCTCTGTGGCACCTCTGTCCCTTGTGTTTCATGTTTCAGGTGTGGCTGTTGATTGACTTAACAGACGGGATCCCTTGCCAGTGTCTTAATTTTTGGGTATATTTATGGGAGTGAGAGATAAAAAAAGCTCTGCATCGCCAAAGGCTTGTTCGGTAGCTTGTAGCATCAAGCCCTTTTTAAAACAACAGGGTAGTTTAGATCATGTTTTTTGGAAATGAAACTCTTGTTGCCTGTGTTATTCCTACTGGATGAAGTGAGTACTGATGTCACGTTCTGTTTTTTCTTCTTCACCTACAGCATGAACAGGTTAAACACCTTGCCAAGGGGATTTGGCTCTTTACCAGCTCTGGAGGTTCTTGACTTGACTTACAACAATTTAAATGAAAATTCTCTACCAGGAAACTTCTTCTATCTGAGTAAGAAACTTCCCTAAAAACTCTACAAATCTTCATGATAGGGTGCTTTGCTTTCTGCAGTTGAAATTTATTTGATGGAGACCAAGCTCCAACAGAATTTTTTCTGATATTTATGTTTTTCTTTGAATCTCTCTTGAATATTTCTACATAGCTCAGCAGTATTTATCACTTATATACAGTCAGCTGACACCATTGGACATGAGAAGACTTGGTTAGTAATGGTATATTAATTTTCTTCTGAGTAGTATTTCCTTGGGTCCCATACTCAGTTAAAACTTAAAACTTCATGGAAGCTTGCAAGCCTAGGGGAAAGTAGCCTGTTTTGCAAGGCAACTGTTGTGTTTTGGCTTTGGAAACAATTGAGTTCCTGATGGTTCATTACTGAAATAGTCTTAGCAGCACGTGGATGTTGAAGCGTACAGTATGTTAAAAAATATGCTAAGGTTACAAAGCTTGACACAGAAATAGTAGAGATAAGTTGACCTTTACACATGTTAAAAATACATGCTCAGAGAGTTAAAATAAAGGTATTGTAATGCATATGTGCAAAAGAGCGCATTATGGTTGCCTAAGCAACTTGAATTCTGGCACTTTCTGGATTTCTGTGATTCTGCTACCTTACCGGTCCTTTCAGTGTACTATGCTGAAGTGGCTTCAGGATCAGTGCATTTAGCTGCAAAAGTGACAGGCGAGGGGAGAGGAAGGAGTGCCGCTGTCTGAGAGATTTTGTGATTGGAACCTGGCAGAGGGAAATTTTTAAGTCAGCATTATTAAAAATGGTGAAATGAAAAGAGGGGAAGGAGGAGGAGTAGTAAACTGCGTAAGACAAATGGGATCTTCTCTCTGGTGGGGAGGAGAGGTTTTGCTGACCTGACCACCTTCCTTCCCGCTGCACCTAACAGTTCTTTGTGAGTCTCCATTCTATTTTAATTTTTTTTTTTTTTTCAAATTGTCATGTATGCTCGTTCAGTAATAGCAAGCTACATGGTTGTGCTGGGTCATCTCTTTTTCTGTGAATTTTGTAGAAATTACAATTTGAGTCTTCTGCATTGCTCTCTTTTAAGATGTCTTTCCCAGCATTAGGCTGTGCTTTCCGTAGAGCTTAACATAGATGTGTATTTGTCTGAAAAACTCAGATGATTTTTTTTAAATGTTTAGGATGCAAATTGATGTAATTGATGTAATAAATAAGAATCAGGAGTAATAAAGACTAATGACTGTATTCTGACAGCTGAGCACTGAGACTATATCCCAGAACCTGCCAGAGTCTACTATTGCAGAAATTGTTAATTGTGCCAGTCCTTTTGAATATAGATGTTTTCCTGAACTCACCAACAATACAATAAGCCAGTAAATCTAAGTTTGACCTGCTTGTTATTATTGTGAGCCCTGGGTGTGTCAAAGGCTTTTCACCAAGTCAGGGTTATTAATCAAACCTGACTCCCTTGTATTGATTAGACCTCAAATGGTTGGGTTATATGCCACCCTGTTTATATATTGCTATTTAATTTGCAGCCACCCTGCGTGCACTCTATCTAAGTGACAACGATTTTGAAATCCTGCCGCCAGATATTGGGAAGCTCACGAAGTTGCAGATAGTAAGTAATTTATCTAAATTCTTGGAAAATCAATTCACTTTTGCAATGCTTGTAGGAATAGAATCTAGTCAATTTGAGGAGTAGTAGGGTATGTTTGCAGGAATAGACCACTACACCTGGAACTGTTTCTTGTTTACCAGCAGACACTTGTAAATAAATTGGAAGAATTGAGTGTTGAGGAGAAAGGTGGGGGCAGAGGGAGTCAAGTTCTGTTTTAGGCTGCTTCATGGTAACCGAAAATTATTCTGACTACTTTATATTCACTCTTAGCTGAGTCTTAGAGACAATGACCTGATATCACTGCCTAAAGAAATTGGTGAGCTCACTCAGCTTAAGGAACTTCACATCCAGGGAAATCGTCTTACTGTGCTGCCCCCAGAACTAGGTAAGATAATGGATGGTCATTTATTTATTTGAATAATAACGATAATGATGCTCTGTGTTTCCTCTGAAATGAAATCAGTTGTTAAACTCTAGGAAATGATTATGCGTAAGTCGTCATTGCTGTTGATATTTACTTTCCCCTGATAAACACTCACTTTTTTCACTCCTACTGGATATGCAGGAGAGGCCAGAAGATGATGTGTGTTTGGTTTTATCAGCTTTTTACGTGTTACGTTTTCCTTGTGTATTGGTAAACCTGACTGCCAACTTGTATATAGCACCTTGCTTTATATAACATATCATAAATATTGGATTTGCAAAGCTATTCTTGTCTCTGGCTGGGTTTTGGGAACGCTATTTGGATCAGCCAAAAATTATATTAAGCAAAAATGATAGCAGTACAACTGGCATTTTTGTGACTGTTCCTGTAAAAATGTAAGCTTGATCAACTAGAGTAAAATATAGCTAAATTAGAAGAATTTTTTTGGTTTTCTGTTTCAGTAGTCTGCCTTTCTTACTGAGTTGGCAGCTTTTTCACTTAGAGCAGTGGAGCTGGTTGATGTACTTGGAATTTGTGATATTGGCCATTTAGATATGATTACAAGTGGCTTCTTTTGACCTATAAGGTAGAATTTATCTCTGAAACTTAAGTATTGATTTTGGTGAATTTGTATAGCAGTGTTGCATTTTATGTGAGGGGCATTAACTTCAAGAGAAGTTGTGCCTGTTTGCTCCAAGCCAGAATTTGGTTTCAGATCTTTTTAAAGTTTGTCATAAAATATTTTTGTTGGGAATAATGTAGCTGTTGTTGAAATTACCTGTTGTTGAAACACCTGTTACACAGCGTTTATTCCTTATTTCTTGTTGTTGTAGATTGTTATATAGGGAAGCTTCTTTGTTTCTACTGGTACCTTCCAAATAATAGCTCCCAAACCCCAGAAAGATAGTGACTGAAGTTATCATGATAAAGCAAAATTATTTCTTGTCACAAGAACTTGCTTTGACCCATTAGAGAATGTGGCAGCTGTGTGTATAAATGTGACAGTCTGCAATGTATACTTTTTGTTTTATGCAGCAAAGGGTCTGCTTTTTTCTATGAGATGGGGCAAGATGTTTTCTTTGACTTTTATTTGTTTACCCACCATGGGGTTTTTTTTTGCCTTTATCAATCTATATGATGCTGGGTATTTTTTTTTCCCCTCACCATTTGTAAATGAAAGTTGCTCTCATTTGCTTAATTTCAGATGTTTATTCCTTCACACAGGTATGCTTTCTTTAGCTTTTTGTCAGTCATATTTATTTATAAAGTCTCTTTCAGCAGCAATAACATTTCAGAAGCATGTAGTATCTGTAAATGTACTTTTATGTAGCTTCCTAAATTATAGCCTTGGGTTTTTTCCAGAAAGTGGAAGTTAAATGCTGCACTGAGTCTAACCACCTTCTGTGGCTAATTAAATGTTCTAAACATGCTGCTGCCTTACAACAATAACAGCAGATTCACTTTAAATGGTTTTACCATCATTGTCCAAACCAAATGGAAATATTTGCAACAAAATTCTTGCACTGCACCTGCCAAACTCAGGATGGCCAAGGGAAGCATTTCTCCTTTTAGTTAACATTTGTTTGCATTATAGAACAATATCACAATCTGGTAGAAAAAGGACTTGTAGTTGTGCCCCACCTGATCAGGGTAGGGTGCATTGACACAGCTTAAGTCCTTGTCACCTGCCTTCTTTATTACTCAAATGCTATTCTATAAATTATACTTGTCTCTTCATGTATTAATTTACCAATGTTCTGTTTAATGGTCTTATCCAAGATTCTCATTCATGATCGGTTGGCGTAATTTCTATTGCAGTCTATGCCACGTGTAGCGCTGGAATAATATGTATATAAAAAATTAAAGTAGCCGAGATTTTGGGGTATATTTCCAGAGAAGATTGCACTGAAGTCTAGATTTATAACTTGTACAACTTGCAAGCATATTTACTGTGCAAAACAATGTTGTTACTTGTTTGTTAAACATCTAGGCAAACGTTTAGGGAGGGGATTTCAGTAAACAGAGCACCAGGCTGGGCTTGGGAGGGCTTGTTTGAGATCAGGTAGGAGCAGGCCACAGGCAAGTATGAATCTACTGAATGATTAGAAAAAGTCACTTCATCTCTGCAGCCCTATTTTCCCTTCTGTGAACTAGGGCAATTTGGCGAAGCGGGCCCCTTTGCAGACTCTTTTAAATCTGCCAAGGAAGGGTGGTATGCGAGTGTTACACCCTAATGAATGGACTGCTAATTCCATAGTCGCCATCTGAGGGAAAAACAATTTTATCTTCTGCCCAAGCTCTCCCTCCTAAATTTTTAAAATTGAATTATAATGTAAGGAGAACTATCCAAATACATTGTGCTGTGCGTGTTGGATAAATAGATTTTCAATGAGCAGGTCCTATTTGCATTAATTGGAGGTACTGCTGTTCCTTTTAAAGTAAACAGCCTTTCCTCTCTCATTATCACTTTCATAATTGAAGGTGCTGAAGGCTTTTGCCTGGCTTCATTAGATGTCCATTTACCAGGGAGATGGGCACAATACAAACACCCGAATAAAACAGTGTACTTGAATGAGGAGAAAAGGAGTACAACATTAAACTGTTTTCTAAAGGTAATGGAAATAAGTGCAAAAGAAGGCATAGAGTGTAGGGTATGAGAAAAGGCCACAGACAGGCATTGGGATCACAATTTTGGAATGGAGAGAGGTACCAATAAAGAAAACCCTGCAGTCTGCTCTTAATTTCACCTGATGTGATTGAGCATGGCCTGCACCAGTAAGAGGGCTGGGGGAGATTAGTAGTATCCTCCTCCGTGTTTAGCAGATGTCATGAATACCTATCACTAATTTAAGAAAAAAATATTCTTGCCCAGGAGGAAAGGAGGGGTCTAGAAGAGTGCATTGGTGCTCTGGGTGAGGGTGCTCGTCTGTAAATACAGTATGTGTGGGTGATGAACAGAGGAAATGGCCGGGAGTAGGTGGGTGGAATTTGCAGCTTGTTTTTATCATTGTCTCTCAAAATCCCGTTCATGAGGAATGGTGGTGGGCAGTCATATATAAACTTTAAAGAGGCGCTGGCATTTTTTTCCTTAGCATTTAAAAGGTTATGTGCTGCATTGCAAGACAAATAAATCATGATTCACTGCAACAACAGAGTTGCAGTCAGTTATATAAATTGCCAAGGAAGCACTAAATCTGTCACTTTGTGTGTTCTGACCATTTAACAATTGGAACGGTGTTTGGAAAGAAAGCTGAGCAGAAACAAGAGGCACGTAAAGAGACAGATGCAATTAGTAAGATCATTGATGGTGTTTTAAGTCCATTGTATGGTCATCTGGGTGGACCCATATGCGCCACATAAAAGATTTTCTTTAAAAGATTTTCTTAGCCGAGTCAGGAATAGTATATAGTGCAGAATATTCACCAAGTTGTAGCTAAATGTAAATAGCCACCCAGAGAATGTAACTAGCTTCTCTGTAGGGTTGCGTTTCTGATGTGAAAACAAATGGCATGATTTTTAAAACCAGATTCTAATGTTGACTGTGTTTGTTACCCAGCTGCCAACACACATGTGTACGCACACGTACACGGAGTTTGCTCATGTTGATGCATGTGGGAAGAACAGTGATTTCTAAGGATGCATTTGTAATTACCATCCTCTTTTTCCAAAACTGCATGTTGGCATCAATGGCTTTTAAGTATACTATTCAATATTGTTCTGGTTTATCAAATAATTTCCTTAGGTAAAGTGAGACGCTAGCTATCAAAACTGTGACGTTAGGTACATACTTGAAAAGTGGAAAATTCAAGCTCTTTAAAAAAGAAAAAAACCACTTTATGGGGTAAGTAGCCATGTTCCCTTTTAATAACGATGAAACATTTTGTAAATTAAGTCGGTATGTCAGAATGGCTAAGTAATTCTTTCATCATTTTTTAGTTTTGAACAGGTAAATTATCTTCTGTGGATAAAGGATTGGCTTTAAATAGAAAATTCAAGGAATCCTGCCAGAAGTCTCAATATTTCCATCACAGGAAGACATTTTAAAATTTGGGCTTTTGAAATGACTCTAGAATTTGTGAATGAATATTTTATTATGCAAAGTAGTTGCTGCAGGTATTTGATCAAGTTAATATTAATCAAAATAGCGGTTTACATAGGTAACAGGCATGTGCAAACATAGGAATGACTTATTTCACAAAAGATTTTTCTCTTCTAAATATGCTTGACGTAAATGCCAAACTTTTCTTATTTCAGTATAAACTGCCACTGCACTCTGCCTGTGTCACAACACAATACCGCTCGCACCTGCAAATACAGGTCTGTGGTGCTTGTTGGAAGCCTGAACATCCCGGGGCTCTCTGGACACCAGCTGCGCGCTGGAACAACTAATTGATACCTTGCAATTTAAAAAAAAATGACATGTTTCTACTTTTGGAACTAAGGCAAAGGTGGTGTCAGAAAGTAAGGAGCTTTATTAAACTTCCTGGTGGATAAACAAAATAACTTGTTTTCTATGACTACTGATGGGAGCGATTACTAGTTAAGGAATAATAGAAAAATGTACGTAACAAAATAGGTCACAGACAGATTATTTATATAAGAAAAACATCTCTGAAAATTTGTGAATATTCTATTTGTTTTTTAGGCTTGTTTAAAGTTAAAAAAGAAAAAAAAAAACAAAAAAAACCCCAACACCAAAACCCACTACTTTTTATGTAGTTAGAAACCAGGCTGATGCCACAGAGTACTTGATGGGACCTAAGGTGTATGGGAAGAGGTGACAACTCTGTAGTTTCATCGTACACAGAAAGATGTTTTCTATAGGCCATCATTTAGATTTACACCACAGGCATTCATTTCCTTACACTGCTGTAATTCTTGCCAAACTTCCCAAGATTCAGATTTGGTCTTACATTAGTTCTTAAAATATGCAAGTCCTACTGTCACTTCTCAGATGACTA